CACAAAAATTTTGGCCCCTAACCACTGGGCATTCTGCAGCACAGTAGTTGGCAAACATTGCATTGCTGGAGACCCTGCTACTTCAGATACGTTAATTTTAAATGTTAGTTCTCACTAGCTAGAAATCATGTGGGAGAAAGTTCAGCACTCTGTAGCAGGCATTTGAAAATCCTAGACATTTTCTCAAGCACCTAATAAAAGCTCCTACGCAAGCCAAACACTCACCTAGGATCATTCCTCAACTTGATATAAATGCAGTGCATGAGGCATGACTCTATACTGCTCAGACAAGTATTAAAAGAAAAAGCAGTATCTCATATCCACTGGAAGCTAAATGAAGCAAGGGCAGGACCAATTTCACCCCTATCCACTATGGTCTCAATCCACATTGTGTTTTCTGAGCTCCTGACTTGGCCCTTGCTGGTCAGAGAGGTGAATTGAGTCTGCTAGAGCTTGTCAAGTCATAAAAGACAATTCTCCCTATAGCTGAAAGAAACGGGAGGTGTGGGAACATGAACCAAACTTCGACTGCTCAGAGTACAGCTTTGGCAGTATAAGGGAGTATTTGATGGTTGTTGCTGCCTTCTGGGGAGATAACTTTTCCAGCATGCTCAGAGTGGCAGCTTGAGGAGGTTTCCTACAGGACACAGCAGGAAGAGGGACCTGGCTCCAGCACTGGACTGAACAAGAATGAGCCCTCCACTTGCTTATGAAAATTCAAGCTTTAGTAGCATATAGATGGCTGGAAATATCCTGGTCTGCTTAAACAAACCTGCCTTCGTACCTTCTGCATTACCATATCCCAATCATTAACTTCGAAACAGTCCTGTTAATCTATATGCCTTTATCCCCAACTCAAATCCACATGCATTGAACCGCTAATTAAAACATAAATCTCTTCAGGGTGTGTATGACAGAGGTGAGGATCTCCTGGGCTGACCCTACTGTCCCTCTCCAAGCAGTAGGTCTGTCCTGTCCCCTCAGGGAGTGGGGTGAAAGGAGGCTGGAGGAGCCATAGTGCTGGGGGGAGCATAGCCCAACTTCCAGCGCACTGCCACAGCGCCTGGGCCCTGCAGTACAGTGCTGTGGCTCTCACACTGCTACCACCTCACTCTCAGCTCTCCTTTGTGTGGAGGCGAGGCAGAGGGTCTGCCAGTGGCACCTCAGGCCTTGCCTGCATCCTTGGCGAATGAGGTTCAGCCTTCTCCAGCAGGTCTCCGTCCTGGGCCACCACATTGTGGCTTACCCCTAGGAGAGTACCCGCCCTGGGCTGCAGCGGTCTCTCCCCACCCCAGCTACTAAGTCTTCCCAGCAAGGAAGGGGGACACAGAGCTCATGTATGCCCATGCACAGAGCCTGACCAGCTGCCTTGGGCTCCTGGAAGAGCTGACCATGAGCACATGTACAGAGCCTGGCCTTCAGTCACTGTGCAGGGTGGTATAGGGGTACGTGCCGGACACAAGGTGTGGCCCATTCAGGGGATGTATTTGCTTCACTCCCCCCTTTACCGCACAGAGGTTGATGGTGGTTCTGTGCTGGCAGCCACAGCGTTGCTGCCGGGGTGCTGGTACTCCCACCAGGGCCGCAGCCCCGCCTGGGAAGCAGTGCTCTGCCTTGGCTGCCCTCCAAGAGGCTGAGGGCGGTGCCCAGGTGTGGGCAAGCCCAGGTGTGGGCAATCGGTGCTGCCGGCAGCCCTTCCCCGCCCCGCCCAGCAGGGCAGGCAGGCAGGCAGGGCTGGGGGAGGTCTGGCCGCCTCTCCTGAGAGTCTGCAGTAAACCGTAACTGTCGCCTTGAAAATAATCACAGCCTTATAACGTGGGCTTACTTGTCTAACTGGGGCATGTTAAGGTGGGAGCCTCTGGGAGCACGAGGGTGATGCATCTTGAGCTGTAAGTTCTGACTCTCCTCTGTGTGTTGCCATTCTCATTTCCTGAGGTTCGGAGGAGAAGGAGAGGTGAGTGAGATTGCAGGCCTATGCCTGCTATCTCACCCCTTGGTATTTTTGACTGACCACTACTGGCAAATATCAAATGAGGTAGGCAGATAGGCTCACAGACTGGCATCAGTTGTTTGTTGATAAATTATAGCAAGCTTAGAATGAGTTAGTTTCTCTTAAAAATGAAATAGTCTTCTTGAACACCTAAACCCCTCTCTTTTCCCATTTACTTTCTGTTGAAAGTCTCTTTTTTTGGTGTAGAATATTGAATACATTCTCAACTTTTAAAACCTAACTTATACTGGTGCCAAAATGGGCTGGTTTCTTGACGACTTTTAATAATATGTTTTTCTTCAGAAGCTAAAAGACTCCTGAGAATAAACACTGATGTATTAACATTTGTGTTTATGTTCAGCTAGTGCTAACCTTTTGCACTTTCCTGTGAATGCTGATTGAGAGTTATATCTAGCACTGTCACTTTGGGGTAATTTGTGTTCTGCTGTCGTGCTTTTCTTGTGTTTGTTTTTTTTGTTTTGTTTTGTTTTGTTTTTTTTAAAAAAAAAAAGTCATTTCTTGTGCCTTATGTGGAATAACCAGAGCAAATTTTTTGATGTTCATATGCATACCTCTGTTCACATAAGTATGCCTGTTTCGGTGATGCTCTTTCCCCATATAGGTCACAAATCCTGGTCAGAATTTGTGATGGTTAGGATACCACATTCAGAAAGACTATCTAGAAAATGGTTTGGCTTTTTTTCTTACAGATCTTTTGCTTTTAGGATTACAGGCACAGATTGAAAAAATGGAATAATTTTTATTGTAATGTATTTAAACTTAGGTAATACCTATGGCTATATATTCATGTGGTTTTATAAAGAACTTACTCATTGGGATGTGCTATATTAAAACTTCTAGGAAATAGTGTAGGTACATCATTTAAACCATTGTAAGTTTTTAGTTTCTAATTAAAAAATGAGGATCAGTCTTTGACCTGTCTGTTATAACCCCAGCTTTGTTGACGGCTTGGTTTTGCAGCATAATTTGCAGTGTAATTACTGCTGGTGAATTATCATTAGTTGTAATGGGAGTGTGTTGAGTTTGTAATGCACGTTACAGAGAAGGAAGGAAGGGGAATATTTCAGAACATTCTACATTTCCCTTACACATTCAGTCCACGGTATCTTTATATTACTTCTGCACTGGGTTAACTTCTGGCAGATTTTAGTGGGAGAAGAGCTTTTAAATGGGATGGGAAGATACAAGTACTCCAGTTGTAATCAAGGGTTAGATCCTTGTCAATTCTAGTCAATGAAAATACTCATCAAGGTAGTATTCTACTTCTATGGTTCCCTTAAACTGTGCCTTAAGTGTTTCTTACTGTGTATCTTCAGATGGACTGAAATTACCTGAGCTTTCAAAAGCCTTTTGCAAGTATGTAATAATGCTGTAAAGGTAAAATACCGCAACAAATTAGAAACTAAGTAGGGTAACAGAAAGCAAAAACAGGAATGGAATCAAAAAGCAAAATCACTTAACATGCTCTTGCAAGTTTTGCTATATCAGCTCTTGCTAGTGTGTTTATGAATGCTAAGGGCTAGAAATGGAAAAAAAAAAAAAAAAGAAAAAAAATCACTTCATCAGATAAGTGAAAACTATTAAAAAAAAAACCCACACTACTGAGTGTACAAAGTCATCTGATCCATTTGAAACATTTGAGTTCTTGTAGACAGAAGGCTTCTGGTGCCTGACCCACAGGCCCCTCAGGACAGGATTTACATCAGAGCAGTAAGTGACAAAGAAACAAGTGAAAAGTTATGATAGTTCAAAATAATTTACTTGCATGTATTATTGGCAGTGCTATTCTTTCAAAACTGAATTAACAGCAATTATTTAAATATTTAGTATCCCTTGAAAAATTGGGGCGGGGGTGGGGGTGCCTACATGTTTTGTAAAGCAGAATGATACTCTCTTCTACTACTTCTTTAATGTGTATTAAGGCAGAGGAAAGCAAGTGAAACCTTTGGTAGGAAGAGACTTATACTAAAGTTAAGAGTTAGGTAAACCAATAGCATTCATTTCCCCGGAGTGATGTAGTGTTTTAGGCAATCTCTGATGAAAGGGAAATTGCTAGTAAAGAAGCTCAGAGGTGTAAGGAATACATAGTATTTCACAGAAACTGAACCTAATAGACCAGGCAGCTTAGAGGTGATAAATCATAAACAAAAATCTATCTAATTTCTTCTTGGCTGGTGTTGAACCAAGATATTGAACTGCTGAACTGATACAACTTGGCAATTTGGCATTCTTATGCCTTTTTTGTCTATTCCATTTATTTTAAATCTCAGTTTCAAAAGTGGAAGGGAGTACCTGTCTGGATGTTCAGGAAGCATATTTATGAAGTATTGATGTTTATACATCTAAATCAAAGATGGAGAAGTAGTAACTGATTAAAACTGTTTCACAAGCTTCCAAAATAGTTAGCAAGTGACAGCGTCTAAATCAATTATTAAATATACAGGGTGAAATAGAGGAATGCATTACTGTATCCTTTTCCTTAGTAGCATTTGAATACTGCTATTTTTCTTGGTTTTTTTATCTTATTTCATGCCAGATGTTCTTATCAGGGAAAACAATGGTGTTGTGTTTTAATATTGATGAGTTGATTCTTCTGGGAATAATAGTGTATCTACCTTCTCAGAATACAAATTGTGGGAGGTGATTTTGTAGTGTAATTACCATAATACATTGAATTTTAAATGCAACTCTTTAAAACTGTGGAAAGAACTTTTTGTTTATCATCTTTCTTCTGTCTCCTGTCAGAGTGACTCTCCTTTTAAAATTGTATGTTATGTTTTGGTGGCCTTTGAAAAATAAACATGTATATCACCAGAGGTACTGTCATCTGTCAAAGTAACATATGCTTAAGCACCTTATAAACTATTAAAAAATCATAATATTTCTCTTTCCAAGGTAATTAGTTTAATCATGTAAACAATTGCAGAGTAAGGACTTTGCTTTAACTTCTTCTTTTTTTTTTTTCCTTTTTTGCTTTAGAAACTTGAAGTCCTGAAATTATAGATGATTTGGTGACGAGCTGAGCTTGCAATGCAGGCAATAAAAACCGTGGAAAAAGAAGTGACTTTTATAAAGGAAACACTTTTCACAGAATCCTTCCTAAAGAAACAAGAGTGCAGCAGAAGCCCGGAGAGCAGGCAACTCTGTGAACAGCAGCCATTGGAAGGAGCTGTCTGCAGCTCTCAGTGCTGTACTGAGCATGTCCCAGCGGAGCCCAGTGCAAGCAGCACATTATGCAAAAAGGCAGATCTAGCAGATGGGAGAGAGGCACAGCAAGCATTTGCTTCACTTGCACCACCACCGCTTGAAAACAAACCTGGATCACTAGAGAGGATCTCGCCGGCAGGCCAAAGGAATGAAATCCAGGAGCATGGCTTGATTGCTGAATGTGTTGCACTGCGAAAAATCATGGGGAATCAGGATGGGAAGCTAAAGAAAAACGCAGGTGATGTGCACGAAGGAGGAGAGGATGCCTCTGGGCCCAAGGATACAGATGGCACAAAGAAGGTATCGGGAAGCAGAAGGGGACTGGGGAAACATGCAAAAGGAAGTGAATCCGGTAAGAAGAAGGGTAAGTCAGATTCGAGGGCGTCGGTGTTTTCAAATCTGAGGATAAGAAAAAATCTGTCCAAGGCTAAAGACGGGAATAGCAGTTCACGGGAGGATGTTTTGGAAAGCCAGGCCTTGCAGGCTGGAGAGCTGGACAGTACTCATTCAATTCTTACCAAAACTCCAGATATAAGCATCTCTGCAGATGAAGGGGGTCTCTCGGACACAGATGTTGAACATTTTGAAATCAGAAATGAAACTGTCCCAGCTGCTGCCGAGACACAGGATGGACAAAGGACCAGCTCTGGCTCTGATACAGATATATACAGTTTCCATTCAGCCACAGAACAAGAGGATTTGCTTTCTGATATCCAGCAAGCTATTAGACTGCAGCAGCAGCAGCAGCAGGGGGCAATTAACATTGGAACTGAGGACCTTGTCACCAAAACAATGGGCCGGCACATGGCTAATTCGCAGGCAGCCCCCTTAGATTTTGAACGATTTCTTTCAGTAACTACCACTGACAAAGAGAGGAGCCCAGACACTGAGGGGCCTTTCCCAGCGATATCTGAAATTGCAGAAAATGTTCCCATCTCCTGTGCAACTGAACGTGAACTGAAAGAAGCAGTAAATGGCACAGGCTCTCCTGGTAACGGCTTATTTGAAACACAAGAACGTAAGCTATTGATTGAGGAACAGGAGCAGCTCATTTCTGGAGTGAATGCTGTAGCTAGTGAACCAGAAGATAATTTTAATAGAACTGTGGTGGAAAACAGGTCTCAGACACACAGCTCTGCACAACCTTTTTCAACCTTGGTAGCAGATGCTGAGACTAAAACTGCTGAAGTGCAGGCTGTTGATTTGCAGGGGTCAGTAACAGAGGACGGTATTTCAGATGCAGGCCGTGATCATGCTGCTGAGACTCAGGAAGGGAAACACACTCTGTCATCCAGTCAAGAGGACCTGCATAATGGTTTACCCACGGAAACGAAAAATGGCATTTTGTCCTCCGAGGGGACAGCAGGCAGTCCGATGCTTGGTTCCCGATGCTTTAAGCCCTATCTAATTAATCCTTGTTACATCAAAACCACAACTAGGCAACTGAGTTCTCCCAACCATTCACCTTCACCCTCCCCATCCCAGAGTCCACTTCTTACAAGGAAGCAGGAGTCCTTCCACAAAAAAGAAAAAGTCTCAATCAAGAAGCAGAGGTCTGCTAGTTTGGCAGGTTTATTTAGTCGTTCTGCAGACTGGACAGAAGAGGTATCTAATCACAAATGCGAGATAACGCAGAAGGTGGGCTCTGCAGGGTACTTGGAGCACAAGGGGTTTAGAGAGAAATTTCAAACGGAAAGAGTGCCTTTGACTCATTCAAGAAAGTCCTCAGGGGTGCAGGCTTCTGCAGAGACATTCCCCAATGTCTTTTCAGGTGAGTGACGTGTATTACGTATTTTTTCCCCAGAGAGTCTTTGAAAATATATTTAAAATACTTGAATTCACTTCTTTGCATGTACTATTGACTTGTGCTGACAGTATTAAAATTGAAGGCCTGATCTTATAAATACAGTCACATTTCATTAACAAGCATAGCCTCTCTGTTCAGTGTCAGCCTGGCAGTACTGCCAGTAAAGGAAGTGCGTAACTCTTTGAAGTTTTTCTTTCTGCTTTTCTACTTTGTCTAGATCCTGTACAAAAAGACTGGATGCCTTAAATCATTCTTGAAAAATGCTAAGAGCTGCGCTGTTGTAGGCAGACCAGCTCTCTGCATAAATAGGTCTTTCAGATGGGAAGCTTTCTGTAGCTGTGGTCCTGTTTGGGGTTTTCCTGCACTAGGCACTGTTCTGATGTACTGTAAATATTTGAGAGGTGCACCTGGTGTTAGACTGAAGCAGTGATGAGGATTTGCTTAGTACAAAAAGGAGAAAATCCATGCAAGCACAGATGGACGGCACTACAGAAAGGAACCAGTTTCCTTTTCAGAAGGGGGAAAGGAAAAGAAAAAAAAATGTTAATGGCTTGAAAAGGCAGCATAAAATGTGGAAGAGAAGGGAAACTGTGTAGTACAATTGGGTAGCTGTGGCAGGCTACTGCTCAGGCTTTATAAGTTGACACGTTCAGGAAAGCATTCTTATACCTTGCCTGTTAGGCAGCTTGCATCCTCTCACAAAGGCATAGGAATATAGAATTTGCAAATGAAAGACTGTGAATAGATGCTTATATTTTCCTGCAGTTTAAGGTTTTTTTTCCCCTTTCGTTTCTACATAAAGCTAATGTATTAATAAATAGAGAAGGCCTCTGCCATGTAGGAGGTATGTATACAGAGGAAACTCAGCAACATATTCCATTTATTTTTTTCACTTAACAAAACTGTAGAACTAAGAATACAGAGAACATGCCCTACGAGCATCCATTACAAGATTAGAACAGCTGAATCTATAATCAGGTTGTTTTGAATGGAAGTCTGTTCTAGATGCACAAGTATAGTAACCACGTATGTACCTGAGCTATTGGCAAGAAAGGCAGTGAGAAATTTTTTGTGCTCTTATGAAAACTAAACAAAATGGTGTGGTTTATGAAGGGAATGTTGACACAATTTAGAAATCACAGGTAGGAAAACAGTTAAGCCATCAACAACTATTTTGCATAAAAAGACTATCTTGTTTTACACTAGAATTTAAAAATTACATAACTGCATTCATAGTTGTTTTCTTTGTGTACATTCTACTCTGCTTGACATCACAATAATACTGGTGAATGAACCTCTCTGGGAACAGAAATTAAAATTAGTGGCTTTTCTGCACAACAGCCAACTCCAGGAGTTTGAAATACTCAGTTAAATTATTAACACTATTTTCCAGATTCAAGTCACAAGAATACTTTAATTCTTCAGTAGTCTTGAACAGAAATCTCCAATTTCAGTCTTGAAAATTATAATTCAAGGTTTTAACACTAAAAAAAAAAAAAGCCAGCCCTATCTGGGGACTAGCCCCCTGTGAAGTGAGCTGAATTTTTTTCTTGTTTTAAATCCCTTCCACTGTTTTCTTAGATTTAATTTCAGACACCTCTATATAAAATTTTACAATTTGAAGTGATCACTACTTTCAGATTTATAGTATATAAAAAACATACTTTTTTTTTTTTTGCTGTTGACATTTGACAGCTTATAAACTACATAGAGAGCAAGGCTTCAAATTCATCATCAGAATTAGACTTTCTTTATGGTGGTGTTATGATGGAAATAAGTTTTATGTGGTAAACTTCAAGAACATGAAATTACTTTTTGGAGAACTGTTTTCCAGGAAACAGCCTTTTTCACATTTCCTTACAAAGTTTTGATTTACTTATTAATAATTTTTAGTTTATTGTGTTTCCCCACCAACACTTTAGACTGTTATTGTGAAGGGATCAATGCCCAATGCAACAGTAGTCCTGTCTCTTTTGGAAATTACTGTGACCCTTATTTGCATGTTCATACCAGCTGTCTTTACAGGCAGAGGACAATTATATCTTTCAGTTCATGCAGAAAAGCTTGAAATGCGTGAACTGGAAATGACATGATAACACTTTATCTCTTTTTGATCACTATTCTTATTTTTAAAATATATTTACAAGCCGAAAATTATCAGGAATATAAAAATAACTAGAGTACACAAAAAAGGGAAACTAAACTTAACATTAGTATCCCCACAGACTGGTTGTCATTGCTGTAAGAGCAGAAAAGCTTCTTTATTTAAACCAGTCTACACAGCAACAATTACAGAAATAATTTCCTTGTAATTTGAATACTGCTTTTGAAAAATATTCTGTTTTAATTGCATGCATGAGATGCATCAATTCAGGGATTACCATCAAGCTTTTAGAAAAAATATTCTTTATAGTGGTTCATTTCTATCTTAAAAAAAAAAAAAAATCAGCTTCTTGCCTAGAGCATTAAGTCCCATCTTGCTGTGCAGTGACTGCAGTGTCGTTCTACATTTCTAACTAGAATCAAGTAAAATATTCCACAACACTTCAGTCATCGATTCTAATGACAGCAGGCTCTGTGCAGATGACTGGCCTACTTTTGCACTATGCTGTGGTTTGGCTGTGCGCCATTTGGTTTTCACAATGATCCATATGAACTCTTCTAAGGCTGTTTTAATGTAAAATACAGATGGAAGCCACAACTGGAAGGGTAGAGACTTTGCATATTTTAATTTTAATTTATATAAGAAGTAAGTATTTCAAATTTGATGCATTGGCTAAGACTGGTGTGGACAAATTTATGGGCATTTTGTAATTCAGAGCTTGGATCTATTTCTTTTATGATGAGGACAGCTGTGTTTGAAATTGCAGTGACAGTAATTACAAGTTCTAGATTACTCGATGCACAGTAGAGCCATGGCTTTTATCTTGTGGTCCCAGGAGGACAAGAGCTGAACCTGAATGAATAGGGTTGGTTCTCTCACTTCAGTATGTGGCAATGAATGATTTGCACTAACATTAAGGGAGTATCTTGCTGGGAAAATGAAACTGATGTTTCCAAACATAACTGAAACAGAAGAGCGAAGAGATTGATTTGAAAAGGAGTTTATCCTCACATTAATTTGAGGTGCAGTGACTGCAGAGGAGCTAGTAAGGGTGTCTGTTACATAAACTGAATGTAAGAGTCCCAGATGGTAATTAAATTCGACCTAGACAAACCCATGCCCTTTCTAATCTCTGTTGGCTGGCTGTAACACACTTCTGCATGAATCTCTTTCAAACAAATCATTTATCTTTAAACTTCTCTTCAGAGATCTATATTTGTCCTGCTTTAGCTGTAGACAGGAGACAAACAAACTAAAAGTCCTGATTACCATAAAACAAATCCTGAAGTCAGTCTCATGCTTATGTGCTCACAGCCTCTTTCTGATTTCCAGAGTGCCCACCTGCTTCTCACAAAGGCCATTTTATCTCACTGTGTTAATGTCATCTGCATCCACTTTCCATTCCAGTGCAGTGTCTGCAAGCATATACAGAGGTCTTAGTGTAGATAAGTATGTGAAAACAGGATGAAAGTTTGTTTCTGAGACATAAAGTAGATCCTTTTAGATACTTTTTCAAGTTTTTTTTAAATTCTGATTCATGTGATGATGCACACAATGTGTATCTATTGGCATCTTGATGAGAATGTTTATCACGCAAGTGTCATTGAAGACTACTCGTGGTTTACTGTTTCACTGATGATGTTTGTTAGCAGTAATACAAATGTTTCTTTTATCAGCTGGTGCGCAGTGCAGCCCCTTCTAAGGGAGCTGCCCAACAGCAACCCTTCATGTGATATGGGATCATCTGCTACATTGTGTGTTGCTAGTAATTATCTGAAGGGAAAGATCCTTCTTTTTTGCCTAGTAAAGCCAAACCTGGGGTGGGGGCAGGGAGGAAGCTACAATAGTGCCCTCCAACTACTGTAAAATGTGTTTGAAAACAGGCTGCAATACGTTACTGAAAGACTGCTGACTGCTGGTAAGTTGTTTTAATGTTACTGTGCCAGCACTACAATATGGGAATTGGAGCAACACGAGTAATGTCATTGGAATGCAGTGCTGCCACAGGCTTGTTTTGATGGGGTCTCATGATTAATGCTTTGATCTTTATCTAGAACTTCATTGAGAGTAGCAGGTTTTGGTCACGAGGTTGAGTGGTTGCATCTCTTCGGCAGCAACCCCTTTCTGAGGTTTGAATCACAGCTTGGCTCGTAAAAAGATGTCGTCTTGGTTGCCTGCTGTTCTCTTTTGGGGTGCAAAGCAGGAAAGGAAAAGGGACAGTTTATAGCTGGAGGTCCATGCAGCTCTGCTTGAATCTGAGACACAGTACCCGTGTAATATCCATCACACATGGGATCTGCCTAGAACTGGTCATTAAAGGACACTGTGTACTTCAGTGATTTCATTTCTGTGAAAAGAGTAGTGGATTATTCCAGTGGGAATAAATATGTGGAATTTAAGTTGAATATACTTTTTTAATCTAATTGTGCTTTATTATTTTAAAAAAAATATTTATAAATTATTTAATAGCTGGAGGGGGTGGATTGTCCATTTGGGGTTTTTTTTTGTTTGTTTGTTTTTAAGAAAAAACAAACCTGTGCATACATGTCTTCTTTGCAGAAAAAAGAAATCTATTTCTTGAAGCAGGCTTTTTTCTCCATGCTGTAGTGTGTAAAGAAAAATAAACTTGGAAATGAAAAGCATCTCTAGGAATATTTTATACTGTCTCTATATAAGGGATCAAGTTATGTGAATCATGGTGGTAGAAATGCAAAAATACTAATTACCCAAGATATTTTGTTTGTGCTGTAGTTTAACCAACTCAGGATACGGCCAAGTGTATTCCTTATAAACCACTGCCAAAATTTGAACTTACATAACAAGTAGTGGTGATGAAGTGTTTATGTGTAGGTGTTGCTGT